CCTAAGCTTCTCCTGGGTTACACCACAATTTAGATTGCTTCCCAAGTGAATACAGTATCAGAAAGCTGCCAGTTTTATGGTTCAGTTAGGTATATCTTTATAATGAAAGCAACTAATGAATGTTTACTGAGGTCCAGCTTCATAACAGGAAATATGCTGGGCTTTCACAAATATATAACTCAATGAAAAAATCACAGTAACTCTACAAGATAGGTATTATGTGTATATTTTCAAAATTGTGGCAGCACATACAATGAACATGTTATACAGCTATTAAATGTCAGAACTGAAATTCAAATACAGTTTTTCCAAAATAGGGTCTAGACTTCTTTCCACTGTCATGTCAAATATGAGACTGGACTTAATACTCATCTATGGAAACAGGATGACAGCCTGTGGAAAATTGGATGCCATATAGATGGTGGAAGATAGATTTTAAGGTCCACGTGGTAGGTCATTCAGTTATGGATTAAAAGTTATAAAGGCCAGATAGAAAGTATTCTTTGAAAAATTAATCATTATCTAAACATTAAAATTTCACTAAAAAAATGGAAAAACTATCCCAAACTGCTAACTATGATTACCTCTGACAGAATATCATCTTCCTGATATTCTGCATTTTCAGTTGATATGTATACCTTTCACAAGCACAAAAAATCTACTCAGTTTTTTATTCTATTTCAATTCATCTAATTAAAATAGCTGCCATTCTAAATGCTTTGAATACATTTCAGATTCTAGCACTAAACTGTTACAGAATGTTTAGTACAATACATGTAGCTCTGATAAACAATGGATGTCTATAAAATAAGACACCTCTTACTCTTAAGAAGTTCACAGTCTACTGGGGTAGATGAAGCTGCCAACAAATAACTACAGTCTGATATGGCAAGTAGATAATTGAGATATGGGAAGGGAAGCAGGGTGACTGAAGATGAAGCTGGAAAAGGAGATTAGAACCTTAAGTGCCACACAGAGTATTTGGACCCAATTACTCATTTAGTACAGTTACCCTGAAGATTTCAAGTAGAGACCCATGAATATATTTGTTTTAGAATGAGGATTAAAGGAGGTAAAATCAAGAGTCAGGGGATCAACAGAAAGGTTTTGCAATTGTCCAGGCTAGAATTCCATGCTGGTCAAACATTTATTAAACATTGACAATGTGCCAAGAACAGGATCAGGCAACCAAATATAACAAGGTTTTTGTCCTCAAGAGCAAAGCCTGGGGGCTCGGGCAACAGATAAGCAATTTATCAGTGATGGTAAGGATTAGAAATGGAATCAGAATAGTTGCTGTAGAGATGAATAGAAGGAACAGATTCAAAAGATATTTCGGGCATAGAAAAATAAGACTTGGGAACTGATCAAATTCAGTACCTGAGTGCATGATAGGAATCAAGGATGCTTCCTAGGATTCTAACTTAGACTTGATGCCATTTATTGAAGTAGAAAATACAAGAATGAGGAGTTGACATCACCTGCTACCCTTCCCCATTTCTTCCAGAGACATCACACACGAGATAATAAGGTTTCCAGAAGACAAACATTATAAATCCAAACATTACCATTATCATCACCTACTGGGCATGCTTTCAGAGGAAAAAAAGTTGACTTTGTCAGAATATTACAATATGGAGGTATAGGTTAACATTATCAGAAGAAATCACCTCAGTTACAAAATCCTCCTAAAGGTATTGCCAACAAATAAAGATGTGTTATCTTACTGACTTCTAACTAAAAACGGCAAAAGAACAAATATCAATAATCCATCCCAAATTTGAGAGATGCTGAATCTAATTATTCTCTGTTCTTCATTTTAGGGGGCAATTTGAAATCCTAGTTACTGTTCAAACATAGTTAGTAGCTATCCTGCAAGACTTAAACTGGTCAATTCAGAGACCTTCCTGGAAAGGGATGGGGCCACAAGAAGTCTGGCAACACAGTGGTCTCAGGGAAGGTGCTATACCAGCTGGCACACCACTCAGTGACTCATTCTAGCAAAGATTTTGAGGAATTGCAAGGATTCCTATAAAAAGTCTTCCTAGTCCCTCCTGTCCCAGGATATTAAACACACAGATTGACATGTTAATTAGAGCTAGAGGAAAACCTCTTAAAAGAGGCAGTTGTCAAAAAAATTAAAAAGGTATACCATTTTATAGGGAATGATGTACTTGATAACATAAATGGATGCCTAGCAAAAGATATGAATGCATTTTTAATATAATTATTTCCACCTAATATTTTATCACATTTCGCTGGCTATGAAAAGAATTTGGATAAAGTCACAGAATGATAATTTATTAAGGGAAATTTTTAATGACAACTTTAACTTATAACAATGACATAAAAATCAATCATTAAGCTCTTCCATTGACTGCTACAAGTCAATGAGAATATTGAGTAATTCTGAGCAAGGGTGAGGAATTTTTTTATGTTACAGATACTGCAAATTCATCGTTGCTCAATATTTTATTGAAAACAAGCTGGAACCAAAAATTAAGCTCAGTTACTTTATTCAATCCAATAGTCATTGAAACATTCATGATTTCCTCAAAGCTGGTGAAGATATGAGGAAAAGGATACTCACATAACACTGGTGGGAATGTATGGTGAATGCCTTTTAAGAGGAAAATCTACCATCTGTCAAAATTTTAAAGTTGCATAACCTTTGACCCAGCACTTCTCCAAGAAATACACACCAGGGGGCAACGATATATGTATATAAAGCTATTCACTGCAACATTATTGAAAAATGAAAGCCACATTATATTATCATTTATAGGGGAATGTTTAAAATATGGCACATTCATAATATGGAATATCATGGGCACAGTCCTTAAAAAAAAAGAAACAACAAATGTACTGATATGGAAGAGTGTCTATGATAGATCACTGAAAGAAAAAAGAAGGTTGTGGATCTTCTGTGTAGTTTACACAAAATCATCCCTTTTTATTAAAAAAAATCGAAACCATATGGAAGTGTGTCATACAGGAAGATATAAGAAAGAATACGCACCACACTCTTACCACTTATTTACTCTAGGAGTGGGACTCTGTGGTGGAGGAACTTTCGTTTTTTACTTTACACATCTCTGAATGGTTTCAATCGTTTATAATAAAAACTTTAATAATTTTAAAATAACTAATAATTTTTAAATGTTTTACATTTTTGAAAAGCATAATCTCTGAGATAAATTCACCAAAGATTCCATCTTTAGATCTTAAACTGGTAGCCCTCTAAATTTTGACAATCTAGAAAACCTTAATAGTCTGTTACCATTAGAAAAGAGGCCAATATATGGCCAACACAATAATAAACTGTTTAGGGTGCGGGTACAACCCAGGAGCCTACCAAAGATTTTTGGTAGAGGTACTGAAATAATTTCAGAGCTAGGGAGTTCCACTGACAGGAAGTGGGAAGAAATTGCACTTTCACCTCTGTGCTGCTGAGATAAAAATTAAGACTAAATATCAATTTAACTGTGAAAGCAAAGACAAACAAACCAAAAGTAAAAAACCTAAAGAACGACTGAGAACCATATTTAAGCCCCAAACCATGTTCTTCAGAAAAAGACAACTTGCTGTGCTAAATTAGACAGAAAGGCAAAAACGGGGAGTGGAGGAGGGAACCATAGACTAAAGGTAAAAGAGTCCTAAAGACAATCCACCTGCAGCTTCCAAAGTGTGGTTTTTGATCCCTGCAGTAGATCAGAGGACAACTTGAAAGTCAGGTAGCGCCAAAGCAGCTGTGATGATTTTCGTAACCCCCTTCAAATGTACTCTAAAATTGCCACTTTTTTTTCTTCTTCTCTAAGTACCCAGGGCCTACGAAGATCTTCCGGGCTTCACGTTCAATTCTGGGGAACGTCCAGGCAGTCAAACATCAACGGGGAGGTTGTGAGATGCGTACACTTTCCCTTCAGAGGCCACTTCAGCCAGTAACTGGGCAAATCTGTAGAGTTCAGAGCAGTAACCAGTCTGCGACTGGAAATCCGCCCAAAGCCAAATAAAACACATCTTCGAGGTCAAACCAAGCAAACTGAGGCAGGGTACTTGCGAGGAAAAAGGGCAGCTAATCCCAGAGTTATAATCACACACGCGCGAACCTGACCTGACCCACACCCACTCGGCAGCGAGCGCAAATTGGGGGGTCCAAAACCGGAAGACAGACGCCCAATGAGCTTCCTCTGGAAGCGGAGAAGGCCCTTCCATCCCATTTTCCCCGCCTCAGCCCCCGCCAAGTAGCCACCCCCGGCTCCACCCCATCCCGCTGGGCCCCGCCCGTGGCCCCCTGGCACCCAGGTGGCCTCATTGCTGAAGGGCTCCTAGGTTCTGACCGGAGGTCAGCTGCACTCCTGGTCGTGGAGAAAGGAAGACTAGTCACCCGCACCTCAGGAGCATTGTACTCACCCTCATAACCTACGCCTCCGACTTCACTGCGGCTCCTACCACCGTCTTCCTCCAGTCGGGCAACAGCCCGGTGGGTCTTGGGAGCAGCCATTACTCGGCTGAGAAGAAAAGGGAGGGCTGAGGGGCGGGGAGGGGGCGGGGCTTCGGCAACACCAACCAGACTAGAGGCGAACTTTCCATTGACGCGGTGTTTTCTCCACGCCTACGCCGTGCAGTCACCCTCTGGGCCAATAGGACGTGGCAAAAGGAACTTAATCCCCGCCCCTAACCGCTACCACCACGCCCCCTTCCGGGATGGAGAGGCCAAGAACTACAATTCCCAGCGTGCCGCGGAGGCACTGAGAGGGGAGGGCTGGACGAGGCGCTGACGGGCGGGGGTGAGCCCGAGAGTGCCCCGGCGTGTTCGCTTAGTTCAGTGAATCAGAACAATGACTGCGCCGCCGGGTCCCCGGGAGCGCTTCGGAGGACAGTGAGCAGCCGCCGCCGGGAGAGCGGCGGGCGGCACAGCCTCGGCGGCGCGGTGTCAACGCTGGGCTCGGGAGCCCCAAGCGCAGACCCTGCCCAGCGCCCGCTGTCCGCGGGAAGCCGCCGGGCTCCAGCGCTGCAGCCGCTACTCGGGAGCTGTGCATTGTTGTGAGCCGGAGAAGGGGCGCGGGGATTACAAAGCCTGAAGACCCCAGTGCCCCCTTTCGCCATGTGGATACCTACGGAGCACGAGAAATACGGCGTGGGTGAGTCTCCGCGGGGCGAACTTTTATTCAGCTCTGGCCCGAGCGGGTGCGCATTTCTTGTCCTTGTCCCCGCGCCCCTCTCGCTCCGCCCGGCTGGAAATGCCTAATCCTGGCATCGCGCGGCGGGTCCGGGCTTTGCTGAGCCAGCCCCGGGCAGAGGGGTGCGCACCAGGGTCTCGCCCCCCACCGCCCTCTCGGCGCTCCCCGCACCCGCTCCCGGAGCGCGGGGAATGCTGAGGGGAGCGCGCGGCCGGCCCGCCAGCTCCGGGCTCTGCCTGCGGAGTTTGGAGTGGCGACTGACTGGGTGTGTGTGTGTGTCAAGTTGGAAGAGGAGGCGAACGGGGTTCCGCTCGCTCCTTCCCCTTCTTCCCCAGAGTAGCGGGGAGACGGCAGTGAGCTGCACCGATTTCCCAGGGTGGAGAGGGAGACAACAACAGTCGGGCAGAGAGAACACCCCCAAAACACTAGGGAGGCGCAAAACCTCCCCTCTGGCTCCGGTCAACATTCCCGGAGTGCAGAATGTGTGGCACGGTCCTCCAGAGAGCCGCTCTGACGGACTGAGCCCGCTCCGAGCCTCCTTCCTCCCTCCTATCCCGGGTTTATGGGGTGTGTGTGTTGGGGGGCGGGGGCACTGGTAAATCTCAACATCTGCCCGCTCCGCTATTTGGTCTTTTGAGGGGAACGGGTATTTCAGCAGCGTTTTTATTTCTGGCCACCCTCTCCACCCGGGGCGAGCACAGTGGGGTGGTGGTGGAGGACGGCTGTGGAGTGATAATGGGGAGGTGAATCAGAAAGCCTGGGTCTTCGAGGCTCGGAGCCAGCTTTTGGGAAAGGACTACTCTGACGCTGGCGTTCGGAGAAAAAGGAACAGGATAGCGCTCGCTGTTCTGTGCAAAGGTGAACAACAAAGGACATTAATGTTGACTGATGTATACAGGAGTCTCCCTTCCTTTTCCTCCTCCCATTTCAGGCGGGTTACAGTTCCCGTTTTTGTTGTTTGATTTCAGTAGGGTCGCCCCTTGACAGTTACTCCTTTTAGGGTTGAGACTATTAAGAAGCCAGGCTCTCTGACAAGCCTGCAGCGGCCAAATGCAATTATAACCTCCCAGAAGGTCTAACCGAGAGAAAGCATTATGGATCTTACTAACAATCTTTATTTCCTATAATGCCCTGTCCTGCCGACTGGTGTACTTTTTTTTTTTAATTGAGGACAGATCTAGTGATTTAGATGCTGTGTAGCCAGCTATCTGCTTATGTTCTAAATTCACTTTCCTGCAATTTAAAAAATCTGGAAAGCCTTTCCAGGGAGACATAGCCACAGGGCTTTTTTTTTTTTTTTAACTTTGCCTGGGGATAGGACTTTGGAGTCCACTGAGAGGACTGTATGATTAAACAAAGTCGTTCTCATTTTTTACACTAGCTTCCATTCTGGATTGTGACTGGTTAGCAAGACAATAGTTTGTCCTGGACCCACCTTTGGGAAGGCTTTCCAGCTTTCCCTCTCCTCAGAGTGAGAGGGGAGCCTTTGCCAAGGGCTCTACTAGCAAGGAGTTGATGGTAGTGGTTTTTGTTTTCCTTCTCACTCTCCTCTTTTTTGGGGAGTAGATTAACCCTTGCTAGGAAAAAGACATTGCCTTTGCTGAACTGGTGAGGAAACGGAGGGCATCGCCTCCTCACCGGCTTTAACACTCAGTGCAGGAAGCGCTAACCCATCCAGGCAACACTGTCCCGCTTGGAGTTGATCCCAGATGTTGCTTCCTTCCAAGTGTTAAATTATACAGATTATGGATGGGATTTATTTTCTTGATTTCTCTATATGCCAGGTCACAGCTGGGGTGCTGGTATTGATTAGTTCTTCTCTCACCATTCCTTACTAGCTGTGGGCAGAGGCTTAAAAACCACCCTGGGATTTCCTGGAATGGCAAACCGGATATATCAGTCAAATGTTTTGGGCTGCAGCAGACACCTCAGTTTGGGGTGGTTGTGATTTGGTTGCAGAGTAGAGGGAGGTAGAAGGGTGTTCACACATCTGAGAAAAGGAGGTTAAGTGAGTTGAAAGGTGAGAGCGGAGAGGGATCGTCTGCCCAAAATTATTGCTGTTGGTCTCATTTATACAGCATCACACATATAGGAATGTTAATCATCTTTTATTATTAATTTTTGAGCATTTGGATTGTGGAATGCTTAGCTGTTTTTTAGAATCCATCTGTTAGGCGTGCGTGTGTGTGGTGAAATTTTTGCTAGGATACTTATGTGTGGACTTTATTTTTCACCATGGAGAGCACTATTTGTAGGCTGCTTATACTGCAAGTTATTTTTTTTTTTAAACCGTGGTTAGTGGATGTGTTTTTGTCATTTAGTTCTTACAAATATTAAATAAAAGATATGGGCACAGATGTTTGATATTAGGTGTAGTACAATAGTAATTCAATTTCCTCATTCTTTGGAAATCAGTCTTTGTAATTTAGAATACCTGAAGTTTCAGTGTAAATTGTATATTTCCACAACAATACTTCTTATGACCATCATTTGTGTTTGGAATAATTATGTCTTTGTATATTTATGATTAAATTTCAAGCAACATACTGTAAACATAGATAAAATCCTTAATTTTATACCTGAAGTAAGATGTATCCGAGATAGAAATTCCTTTTCAAATCTGATGTGTAGGCACTATCTCTTCCATTTAATTAATGAATGATCTTAAAACAATGTATACTCACTCATCTACCTAAGTGTTCTGATTTTAGGAAAAGCTATAGTGATAAATTTATAGTTCTGAGGGATAGGGAACCTTGTCTTTTTAAAAATATGTTAGCAGACACAATGATAGGCATATTTCATCTTAGGAGATTCTGGTTAGCTCCTGGCCCTATTCTAGATACTGCTGCCAGCTGTGTGACCTTAGGTTAGTCAGTCAACCTTTCTGGGTCCCAGCCTCTGGATCAAGTGCTACCTAAGGTAACCTCCTGGTACTAATTCTGAAAAGCTCTTCCAACCAAATGTTTCCTTTGGTTAGAAAAACATCTCCATTGTGTAGAGATTGCCATAAGAGAGACACTTTTGTTGTAATATATCCTACATAGGTTTTAACTAAGATCAGAGGTAAGCAAAAGCTACCCTGCAAGCTGCCAGAACCAAGGTGGTGGTTGCTCATTTTCTCAATCTGATATTCTCTCTCTCTCTCTCTTTCTCTCTCTGCCGGTCAGGAGCTCCATGGGCAATGACTAAGGCATTCTTTTTTTTTTTTTAATTTTAATTGACAAATAATAATTGTGCGTGCGTGCGTGCGTGTGTGTGTGTGTGTGTGTGTGTGTATTTATTTATTTTAAATTTTTAGAGATAGGATCTTGTTATGTTGCCCAGGCTGGAGTGCTGTGGCTATTCACAGGCATTGTCATAGTACACTGCAGCCTCAAACTGCTGGCCTAAAGCAATCCTCCTACCTCAGCCTCCCAAGTAGCAGGGATTACAGACACATGCTGCCTCATCTGGCTGTATATATTTATGGTGTACAATGTGATGCTTTGATACACGTTTATGATGTTGAGTGATTATATCAGGCTAATTAACAAATCCATCACCTCATATACTTACCATTCTTTTGTGGTGAAAACATTTACAATCCATTCTAGCAATTTTGAAATACACAATGCATTGTTATTTATGATAGTCACCATTCTGTAGATATCAACTTATAAAGGCTTTCTTAAAAAAGATGAAAGATAACAAATGTTGGCTAGGATGTGGAGAAAAAGGAACCTTTGGGAACTATTGGTAGGAATCTAAATTAATATAGCTATTATGGAAAACAGTATGGCAGTTCCTCATAAAACTAAAAATAGAATTACTGTATGATCCAGCAATCCCACTACTGGGTATATATCCAAAGGAATTGAAATCAATATACTGAAGAGACACCTGCATTCCTATGTTCATTGCAGCACTATTCACAATAGCCAAGATATGGAAGTAACCTAGGTGTCCACCATCAGGTGAATAGGTAAAGAAAATGTGGTATATGTACACAGTGGAATACTATTCAGCTTTAAAGAAGGTGAAAATCCTGTAATTTGCAATGTGGGTGAACCTAGAGGACATTATGCTAAGTGAAATAAGCCAGGCACAGAAAAATAAATATTGCATGATCTCACTGATATGTGGAATCTAAAGAAGTTGAACTCTTAGACATAGAGATTAGAATGATGGTTGCAAGAGGCTGGGGGAAGAGAGTGGTTGGGGAAAGGGGAGATATTGATCAAATGGTACAAAGTTTCAGTCAGACAGGAGGAATAAGCTTTAGTAATGTTGCACAGAATGGTGACTACAGCATTCTTGATCGCCTACTCACAAATTTCCTCAGATTACTATCTGCCTCCTGCATGCCCTCATATGTCATCTCCTGCCACCCCCCCCACCTTAAAGTGGTGGAAGTTATTCAGAGAGAAAGCCAAGACTGTTGCAAATATGTTTGTCTGTTCATTTGTCCAGCAGGCATTTTTGCAAGCATTCCCAGGTGAGCTATGGAGCCTTCCTGAGCTGCAGGCTACACCTCTCAAACCTAGCCAGGTATTTTACATGTATAAGCCTAGTTAAGCTTAGTGGGAGAATATAGGCTGATCAGTGCAAGAAATTCATGAGCTTTATAAGAAACAAAACTCAGAGCAAGCTGATCTGAAGGTCGTATATGTCATTTTTAAAAAATAAAGTGTTATAGTACTAGTATCATTGAGTCCTTACAAACATTCCTGTCCTCTATTTGTCTTGAAGTGGTTTTTGAACTCATCAGGGTAGGAATCATGTTCCTTTTTGAAGCCCCTTCTATATCAGGGGAAGACGTACCTTCTCTTATTCGTGCAGGATCCCAAGAGTGTCTTTCCCTTCAGAAGCGTGCTTTAATGGTAGCTTGTGTGAGAAAGAGTTATGATGATGTGTTACCTTTCCTTTTACTTTTTTCAATTTCTTAAAATGTTTCCTATTAGTTTTACCATCATGTATCT